ACCAGACGGAAATCATTCCAAGCAGTTTTTCCAATACCTGTTATAGTGTTTTCAAACTGTGTATCTTTCAAAATATTTCGAATCTGTGGCCAAACAAAAATACCTTCTTTAACCTTTGCCTCACTTAGTCTTGGAAATTTCTGACGCTGGTATTGAAAAGCTGACCCATCTCTATCTAATGCCTTGACAAAGTTTTTCATTAGGCCCAACTTGATATGCAGTGATGGTAATAAATTTTTTTTCGAATCTACTACTGTACATTTTTTTAACCTGGCTCTAGGAATTGACGAACAGGCCAGTTTTGTCTGGTGTAATGAAGTGCCTTTGCCCGACTGTCCCATTCACACAAAAAACAGCAAAACTTTGTGTAGCCTAGCTGCAGCCCAAGTAAAAGTGCAACAACTTTCAAATCGCCACAAATATGCCATTGGTGCTCATCGTATTTTATGCATGTCAATAGGTACTTCATATTGTCATATGATTCTTTCATGTGAACTGCATACCCTACAGGAAGAGATGGTAAAATATTTCCAATATGCAATAACACTGCCTTTAAACTCAATGTTGAACTGTCTATAACAATCTCCATTCTTCTGGGTTATAGTTTATATTTAAAGCCGCCAGTAAGCCGTCAATGTTACTGCAGAAAACCAAGTTATTCTCCATATTGAAAAATGGTTCTGTCTTTGTGGCGTTTACGAAAAACACATACCGAAACATCGTCTTCTAACAAGTTCCACTGCTGCAGTCTTGATCCAAGTAACTGCCTTACATTTTGGAAGTTCTAAATCTCTTACAAGATCATTTAATTCTGACTGTGTTATTTTGTGCGGTTGGTGGCATGACGTGCTCGGTATAAAATCAGGATCTCTTGACGTTGATGGCATATCTTCTTCCTGACGAATCACTCGATCGCTATGATCTGATTCGTTTTCTGATTCGCAAGTGTAGGATTCTGGGGGTTTTGGAATAGGATTTTCGTCACTGTGAGGCCCAGGTCTCATCGCAGATGGTATGTTTGGGTAGTTAATAACAGATTTTTTTTTCTTGAACATACCTGTGGCTTGTCCAACACAAGGTACCATGCACAATCAAGTAACAATCATTAATATGATTTGTAGGCTCTCTCCAAGTCATTGGGACAGCAAAGCGCATAGACCGTTTTTTGCCATTTAACCAGCTCCTCAGACTTGAAGCACATGTATTACGACAGATGTGGGGTGTCCACTGTCTGTCTTGATCACCTAGTTTACAACCGAAATAAAGCTGATATGCCTTTGTTATTAGTGGAGTAATAGACCGTCTCTGAGACGCAAAAGGCACATCACCACACACGTAACAAAACTGATCTGGATTGTTTACACACTTTCGAGACATCTTGCATGAACGCTGTCAGCCAACTGAGGAAAAAATGGCTAATATAAAACAATATAATGTACACGTATGTATAACGTAACACAATCATGTCGATTACATTATCTTTCCTTGCCGAATATAAAAATGTAGCACGTGCATTCTTGTGAATTACAGTATATTAACACTGTCTCAGCACGAACACATATAATTACCGTATCTCTAAAACTTGAACTAATATTGAAAAAATAAGTTTCATTCCGGTTTTAGCACATTAAAAATAGTAATATTTTGTTGATTTTATTTCGGATATTTTTTGGCTGTTGATCAGTGTTATTGGATGAGCAGTTTTGTAACATGGGGCGCGTATACAGGGTGTTCGGGAAAGAATATTCATGACTTTAAGAGGTGATTCCTTGCATTATTCTAAGCATAAAAGTTCATTATAACCTATTCGAAAACCAACCGTTTCGGAGCAAAAAAATGCTGAACTTCTTTTTAGTCATAAATAAATTAATTTTGCACCTTAATAATTTAAATTCATATGCTTAATAGCGTAAAATGTATCAATACATCTATTTATTAATCAACTGTCTCTAACAAAATAACTTCTTTGCTTATTAAATACAATTTTCCGAAGAAAAACAGGCAAACAAAATCCCTCACACAACTGGCAACGTCGACTCCGCCTGCACTGCATGTATCATCGCGTGTTGCCCACGACCGACATCGTGTCGGTAGGCAAAAAAAGAAATACTTACATCGGAAAGAAATTATTTGATAGTTTCTTGCTTACCTTAATGTAAGTAATGTTTGCCCGAATTGAAATCACATTTTATTATTCAGTATGTATTACTGTATCAGTGAGTGCATTTTGATACGGAAGAGATGCTTTTGGTATGCGAGTATCACGATATGCTTATTATTTTCGGAGAGACTCATTGCAATTCTGAAGGGGCTAGGCGCATTTACGAAGAACGTTTTCCTGATCGAAGGCTACCAGCTAGAAGAACATTCTTATAAGTATCTCAAAGACTTCTGGACACAGGGGGCGTAGTGCCTAATTTTAACGATCGTGGAAGATATCGTGAAGTTGGAGTGGAAACCGAAGAACAAATTTTGAACTTAATTGACTAGGATTCGACACGGAGTACGAGAAGTATTGCTCGTCAATTCGGTGTCTCACACTGGATTGTACATCGGACCCTTAAAGAACAGTTATTGTACCCATCTCATGTCCAGAGGGTTCAAGCTCCTTCGCCTGAAGATTTTCCACGAAGATCAAATTTTTGTAATTCGTTTTTGGGTAAACACCAAAGAAATCACAATTTTGTAGCGAACGTGTTGTCAACAGATGAGTCTTGTTTTACCTCTGAAATAAGGCATGAGAATGATTTAAGGGAGCATATTTTTGCTGCCGCTAAGCTTGCGTAGATGCCTATGGTTCCCATTTTGAACATCTATTGTGATTACTAATACATTTAACTGTAACTCTATGTTATTTACGGATGTTGATCTTTTCTTTTTTTCGTGCATCGCATCGTTTTAAATAAGTGACTGATAATCGTGGGAATTGGTGGTGTGGATCGCCATGCACCGCTAAGTTCCGTCATTTTTTTTTCAAGTAAATGTACTGTACTAAAAGCGTTATTAAATAAAAAATATTAGCCACAAAAATTGCCTAAAAGTATTCAATAATTCAAGGCATATTTTTAACAAAAATATCAAACGTAAACAATTCGACGAATCAGTTGCGCTCGTATCGCGATTGCGTTGCAGCGTTGCCAAATGTTTAAGAAAATTCAATCATTTACGACTCACTTTCCCCGAAAACGATTGATTTTCGGACTTAAATTATAATGAACCTTTTTGCTTAGAATAATGCAAGGACTCAACTCTTAAAGTTACGAATATTATTTCCCTAACACCCTGTATAAGGTGTGACACAAATATTGGCTTCCTCCAACAAAGTATGTATCTGACTTTTTAAATACTACCACAATATGGGTGAGTATACGATATTTGGAATTTCAATGTTTTCCATGAAAAATTTTAGTAATTTGACAAATTGTCGGAATAAATCATCCAAATAGTGTCAAATATGCTTTATTTGTAAACTTTTTACTCGACGACAAAGAATGAGTAAACGCGTTTTTTTGGGATTCAATCGAAAGTGTTGGCAGGAACGAAAAAACTATTTTGATAAGATTTTCAGGCATTTATGAGACCTACAGAATGAGACCACCAAAAGGTCCCGCCAATAGTAGAAAAAGCTATGGATAAAAACCGACACAAAATAAAGGTTTCGGCAGTTGTTGCTAATGCGACGATAATTTGATGCAGCTTAAATAACCACAACGAAATTGGAGTCGATTGGCCAAATAGTTTTTGAGAACTTCTAAGGCCAGACGCACACATGCGATTTTCGGTTTTTTAATACAAATGCGCGCACATGCGACTAAATGATCGCCGCAGCTAAATAGATTCAACCAGTTCTATTCAGGAAGCGACGCGATTATCGCAAATCAAAATAAGTCACATGGACACCAATGAACGTGCACGCACCTGCGACGAATTGTCCACCAGGGATGACCGTCCAGATAGTGTCCTGGAGACAGAAAGAATAATTACCTAGGTGAAAAAAAGACCTGGTATTTACAACAAGCAACTGAAAGAGGGACCGGAATTTGAAGGAAACACTGTGAGACCAGTTTGTATGGATGTAATACGCAATTGAATGGAATTATCCGCAACCAGAAAATAAAATATATGTATAGGGTGCGGTATGTAAACATGAAATAACTTTGAAAACGAAAAACTGATTTCAATACATCGGGTATTTTTATTAAATATGGCCCTTTACAATTTATTGGGTCTAGTTTTTGAACACAACATCTAGTGGCCACCTTTGTTGGCCAAAACAAAATGTGCCCGTTTTGCTGCATTTTCCATTACTTTTTCGAGCATCTCTGGTGGTATAGCGGCGATTGCGGTACAGATGTTTGCCTTGAGTTCTTCAGTGGTCTGGGGCTTGCTATCGTACACTTGACTTTTCAAATAATCCCACAAGGCGAAATCCGGTGGGGTCAAATCTGGAGACCTGGATGGCCAGTCTATGTCAGCACTTTTTGACATCAGACGTCCAGGGAATTTTCGTTGCAGAAACTGGATTGTTTCATTTGCAGTGTGCCATGGCGCACCGTCTTGTTGAAACCAGTAACCATCAAGACCTTTTTCACGCATTTGTGGCCAGACATAATGAGCCAACATCCACCGATATCGATTTCCATCGACTGTTTCGTTTTCGTTGAAGAAAAATGGCCCAATGATGGTTTTGGCGCAAACGCCGGCCCAAACAGTCATGCAATAGCATTTCGTGGACATCATATGGATTTTCTGAGCCCCAAATGGGGCAGTTTTGCTTATTAACGCCGCCAGAGAGCGTGAAATGGACCTCGTCGGTCATCACAATTTGCTTCCAGAAATCAGGTTCAGCATCAACCATGCGAGCGACTGTTTGGGCTTATTCCAACCGACGTGGACTGTCAGTTGGCAATATTTTTTGTGTTAACTGCACCTTATAAGGAAACAAATGCAAATCATCCTTCAAAATGCGCCGCAACGTGGTTCCACTGACGATACGATACTTTTGGGTTCTGGGCAACGGTGTCTCTGATCGCTTCAACCAATTCATGGTCGTTGATGAACGGTATATTGACGATCTCCCACTGTCCCGTAGTCAAGAAAATTCGAAACCAATCGACGGATAGTGTTGTCAGACGGTGCCTGTTTGCCACGATATGCACGTTGCGTTAACACAACTGAACGACGATTTTCAATGTACATTGTGACTATTTCGGCGCGTTGTTTCGGTGTAAAGCGATTCATGACTAAAATTGTAGTAAATTGATGTTTCAGAAACACGTATAACCAAATCACTCGGTTGGTAAATATCAAAGTCATTCGATGTTTCAATACCGACATAAAAGATGGCGCACCCGGTATTTTCATCCTATTTATTTTCTTTATTATTCTCAGGTGTTATTGAACGGTGCAATTCAAATTTTATCTTATTACCACGGTCTTGAGCCTTCTGGGGGTGTAAAGCAATTTGCAAAATAATTTCAAGACCACACATGCCGGAAGAATGCTGAAAGCGGTCATCCTCGGTTCCCTCTGTCCACTTGGAGCTCACAATCTGCAGACCAACTAGTTGCTTACCTCACGGTGTGAGGAGTGGCTAGTTGTTAACGGAACAGCAGTTTGGTGTGTCGGAGCCCTTAGACGGTGTTACAGTCGGATGACAGCTTTGCAATTGAGACTCGTATAACTCATCCTTATCCGCACAAAATTATGCAAAACACAACATGTTCTAATAATATGATCAGCTTCGTAGTATTGCTCTTTACGTCGTGTTTTGGCTTTTAATATCAACCCAACCACACAAGTAGTTTGAACAATAGTAGTAGTAGTATTTATTGGCCATGTTGATACATGAGTATACAGGGTGTTCCATAATTATTGCGACAAAATGATAGGGGTTGTAGAGGGCATAAAAATATGCAATTTTGCCTTATAAACCCGTGTTCGTAAATATGCCGTTTGAGCACTACCGCTAATTTTACCTTAAGAGAAACAAAAAATTCAACAGCTGCAAAATGTTCGTCTAGCACATTTCATGGTTCGCCGATTTGTAAAAAAAAGCCTGCTGTGCTTACATTTTTGTTATCGTAAATTCTCCACACCGATTCATTTAATTTATCTGAGTGGTGCGTCAAACTAGAGGCCAATCCGCGTACAAGCGTGCGTGCTATTGCACATGAAATGGGAGCGTCTCAAACTACTGCTTGGCGGGTTCTCCATGACCAGCAACTACACCCATACCACCTTTTAAAAGTCCAAGCCATGGGTCCAGAAAACTATCTGCCGCGTCGACGTTTTTCTCGTTGGTGGCTGCAGCAGGAGTTGAGGCAACCAAACTTTGGTCGCTACGTTTTGTTCACTGACGAGTCCTGTTTCACAAAGGAAGGTTATTTTAATAGCCGTAACAGTCACATTTGAGATGAAGAAAACCCTCATGCCATAGCCATCCATAGAGACCAACATAGTTTTCAATTAACATCTGGTGCGGCATTGTGGACGAGCATATCATCGGGCCATATTTGCTTCCACCACGTTTGGATGGGCATGCTTATGGTCGATTCTTACAGCATGTGCTACCGGAACTATTAGAAAATGTGCCACTGAACATAAGAGCCAACACGTGGTTTCAACACGATGGCGCTCCAGCCCACTTTTCTTTACAAGTGCGGCAGTATTTGGACGACAAATAGGTGGATAGGCCGAGGTGGCCCTGTGCCTTCGCCTGCGCGGTCACTTGACCTGACCCTACAGGATTATTTTCTCTGGGGCCATCTGAAAGCTTTAGTGTACGAAACTACTGTTCCCAACCAACAAGAGCTACTGGGAAGAGTGATGGCCGCGTCCGCACATGTTCAGGACAAACCGGGGGTATGCCACAGAGTTCGCCGATCATTGAACAATCGTGCACAGCTGTGTATTGAGCAAGGTGGAGGACACTTTGAGCAATTACTGTAGGTAAGCTGTTTCAAGAAACTGATCTTTTTTTTTTGCTCCATCCCAAACGGCATATTTCCGAACAGGGGTTTATAAAGCAAAATTGTTCATTTCGATGCCCTCTACAACCCCTATCATTTTGTCGCAATAATTATGGAACACCCTGTATATGGCAGGCCATTACGGAGAAAAAAATAAATAAACAAATGGAAGAACACAGCAAGTACCTTATTGATAGAAAGTAGCTTTAACATGCTAAGGCATGCACAAATATTAGGTAACTGATATTTAATTATATTATTTGTACTTGGGTTCTAAAAATTCACCAATCGTGTGAACATTTATGAAGAAGGTAATAAAGCATAATTTCTACTTTATGTCACTTCGGATGCACACTTGATGGTTATCGACTAAAAACTGGGCAAGTTAATGTCACAGTTTCTCCCCTAGTAATAAATAAAAAGCATTGTTTTATTACCCGTACATCGTATTTCGCTTGGCATTACTTAAAATTTCATTATAGCTAGATAGATAAAGGTTGATATGAAAGTGGAGTTTATATTTGAGAACAGGTAATCTGCATTACGCTTTCAATAATGTAGTCATGCACAGTAGTTCTAGGAACACAAATAAAATGCAAGAAAGTTGAGGAGAGCCGTATAGTTTCGCAAGCTAGAGATACGAAAAAACTTTTTTATTAGCCGTCAAAGTTGATTACATTTAAAAAATTGTGGAACATTGGCAAAACTAGTCCCCCATGCTTTTACGGCCGAATCAAAAACACATATGTTTAAAGTTCCTCCACAGATGTGGTTTTGTTTCGACCAGAGTAGCCCAGAAACTATGGTTTTCTGCTACCGTACGTAGTGGTCGGTAGTACCGCGATTGGCGAACTACTCAAAGGTGGCAGTGACACTTTTGTTATTCGATAATTTCCAAATTTATTGTTGAGGAAAAATGGCACAACAGAAAATGTGAAATAACCAAATCTCAAATTCTTTGTGGCGATTACCATGCAGAAAAAATGCCTTAAACGCATTTTCAGTAAATTTAAAATTTGGACTGAAAAGAGGGTTTTTTTATTCTTATATACTCCAACCACCACGGGGTACCGTGGGGATATGGGGGATAGAGTGGAAAGGAGGGCACGCCACACGGACCCTAGCGAGGGAACACGTGTTCGAGCAACATGCACACATTCTGGCCCCGCCTTAGAGATCCGTCGGGTGGTATCTCCGTTTTCGACAGTCAGAGACCGTTTACCACTCACGTACAATCACAACATCCATAGCCAAGAAAAAAATTCTCTTGGGGCGAGATTCAAACCCGCGCAGCGCACGGCGACTGATTAGGAAACCCATAACATATACTCCACCACTGCTGCATTTATTATTCTAACATTGCGGATCAATATAGAAGTTACCCAGCATTCTTTTTTGTTTCTCTGTTTACCCTTAAACTTGTAGTTCGTATATGCCATTTTTTTATATAACATAACAGGACAGACGCCTAGGGCTCTGGATTTGATATTCGTTAACGACGCAGACTTTGTTTCTAATTTAGATTATTTGCCACCTTTTGGCAAGTCTGACCATTGTTCACTTTTATCTTCTCTCCAGTTCAATATAAATAGTCGTTCTACAACCGATAAGTTTAAAACCATCAAAATTGTAAACCACGATGCTCTTAACCAAGCCCTGTCTGAAGTCAACTGGCCTGCTTTGCTTAACAACTGTAGCACCCAAGATATGTGGGACACTTTCGCTCAACGAGTCCTAAGCGAAACGGCTGACAATACTGTTGAAAAGAAGGTATACTGTGACCCCTCAAAGCCCTGGATCAACTCTAACATATCGAGGATGCTTCGTCACAAGAGATCTTTGTGGCAACGGTTTAGGAGGAGTGGCCATTCACAAGATTACGTGTCTCATCGATCCTTTTCTAACCTCCTATCTAGAACGTTACATAATGCCAAACATGCTTATGAACGAAAACTCGTTACCTCCAAAAATAAGAAGAAGCTGTTTCGGTATCTAAGAACAAACCTGAATTCCAAAGTTTCATCACCTCAGATCCGCGACGCTGACGGGGTCATCTCCACATGGATGCCACCGAATCTGCCAACTTTGTCGATGAGCCTAATGGAGACCTTCTACCGACCACTATCTGCCATAGGTGTCCCAACAGCCTTTGCGAAGTTGAGTTCCTGCCTGAAGATATATTAATGCACCTGCGAAATCTGAAGACCTCTTCCTCCCCTGGTAAAGATGGGATGACGGCTGGTGTACTTAAAAACTGCGCTTCAGCACTGGCCCTACCATTAAGCTTGATATTCACATCGTCTTTTAGATCTCATACCCTACCCTCATGCTGGCTTAGTGCTTCTGTTACCCCTGTATTCAAAAAGGGCGACAAATCCTCCGCTAAAAATTATCGACCAATAAGTCTCGTTCCTATCGCCGCCAAAATAGCTGAAAGAATCATATTAGATAAGCTCCAGTCATTTGCTTTCGAAAATGACCTTATCCCTAAGAATCAGCATGGATTTCTCCCTGGTCGATCAATAATGACCAACCTTCTCCACTCTCTCAACGATTGGACTCAGTATCTGGACACAAAGACTCCTGTTGATATAATCTACTTAGATTTTTCTAGGGCTTTCGATCGCGTACCACATAGAAGGCTTCTGTTTAAGTTGGAATGTATGGGAATAAGAGGCGAGTTGTTACTGTGGATTAAGGCTTTTCTCACCGGGAGGACTTTCTCTGTGCGCGTCAGTGATAGCCAGTCTCACCTTCATCATGTAGCAAGTGGAGTCCTCAAGGCTCTGTCTTGGGGCCAGTGCTGTTCCTTCTGTATACAAGTGACCTGCCCGCATTGATTTCCTCCACATGTTCAGCTTATGCCGACGACACCAAGATTTACAATAGTGTCGTAAATTCTGCTATGCTTCAACGAGATCTTGATATTGTTTGTCAATGGTCAGTCAGTTGGCTTTTACCCTTAAATCTAACTAAGTGTTGTGTCCTTCACCTCGGGAAGACAAATCCGCGATTTACATACAAGATCTCTGACCACAACATCGAAGCAGTTTCGAGCCACACTGATCTGTGCGTTGTAGTCAACGATCGTCTTTCCTGGTCGGAGCATATTCACCACGTTACATCAAAAGTCAAGAAACTTCTATATATGCTGGAGAGGTCTTTCAAGGGATCCGATGTCAACACTTGCGCCTACATTTACAAGGCATTCGTGAGGCCAATTCTTGAATTCGCTGGTCCGGTATGGGACACTGTGCTTCTGCGCGATAGAAATCTCGTCGAATCAGTACAGCGTCGGGCTACTCGTATCCCTTTTGGAGCACGAAGACCAAGCTATGAAGATCGCCTTGAATTATTCAACCTGACCTCATTCTCTGAGCGAAGAC